AGAACAGAGAAAGGGGATGAGAGATAATTGAAAGCCAAAGTTCTGATATAATTTGCATAACCGTTCTTTCAAATCCCTAGACCTTTTTAACAATAGCTAATTGGGCCTGGATCCCATATAAAACTCTCTAGCATATTACTCGGCCCAATAATTCCATATAAATCAGTCTCATTCAAAATTCCTAACACATAGGCCCGTACAAAGTCGACTTGATTCACAACAAATAGTCTTGAATCATCGATGTGTGTCTATACCAACCGTTCAAACAAGATGCTTCACTTAGCAGTACAGAGGATATAATGTATGTGTCTATATAGATAGAATTAACCCATGCCACTATTAATCAATAAATGTTTTTTAAATTTCTAAATTTGCATTATAACATAATTCTATACAAAATACAAATAGATAAATATAGGCCCATGCGCGCACCATCTAATATATAAGAAGTCGCGCTTCTGCTCTTACTTTTTCATGTTTTTTAATTTTCAAAAGATCCTATTAGTGGCGACAAGTATTTATTTAGAGGCGACTTCATATGAGTCGCTACAAATAAATCAGAACCAAAATTTTATTCTTAGCGGGAATGAAAATTTAGTTGCTGAAACAAAACAACTACCTGTTTAATGTATCAGCTGCCATAACAACAAATTCCTCTGTTTAATGTATTAGTTGCTCAAACAAAACAAAACCCAGTCTCAATTACATCAATAAGCAAAATACACACTAAAATAACATAAAATTTTGAATCTTTTTCGAAATAGTAAACCAATCTTCATTAGCACCCTTCTTAAGATGCTTATAGTTAGCTGCAATTAGGATTTATGGAAGCTAGTGTTTTAAGGTCACGAAATGGAGTATTTGAAGAATTGGATTTTATTTGACCTTAATTATTTTACTCATTCTTTTTCAAAAAGAATGACCCAAATTCCTTTTTAATCTGTTTAAAAAAGAATGATCCCTTTTCTGTTTTTGCAACACTTTAACTTTTAACTTTTCACATGACATGTTTGAGGCCACAAGATTAAAGCGCATTTTGAAACATTTGACATAACTTTAATTTAGAACCACAAGATCAAAAAGTCTTCTTTCTTTTCATAAACTCCGTGTCAAGTCAAAGCAGGTCATTCCTTTTTAAACAGAGGAAATAATAATCGTAACTTTTAGTCCTTAATGATAGTTCAATGCACATATTTAACCTTCACGTAATGAAGAAGTGGCCTTTGTCCATTTTTAGGGGTGTGCATACTTTGAAAGAGTACCAAATTATCATATATTCAAATCCAAATTTTCGATATTATGATATTTAATATCAATTAAGTATCATATTTCATATAATGTTATTTTATTTTGTATCTAATAGAGAATGGACTAACGTTGTTAAAACTTTGAAATTTGACTACTCTATTTTGATTGAAATGTAGTTGATTAGAGAAGAAAATTGTTTGTACTTTACTTTTAATATTTCTACGCGTGTAAAGTGTTAGTTTGATATAATTAAGACGTTCCTTTTATTGAAAAGTCAAAGTCGTAATTCTTATTATATGAGTAGTATATATAAGTTGACGTTGAACGAATTATGATTATTTATATACCGAATCACAAAACATCATAATCAAAACTATCAAACCAAAGTTTTCAATATCATATCATATTATATCTACACCTAATGTTACATTTAGAGCATTTTGTATTTAGATTACTTTTTAAAAAAAAATATTACCTTCAAATATAAAATAACAATACAAATTTAACGTAATATATGGTAACTAAGCATTTTAATGATTAAAAGTTTATTTCACTTAAGATTATCGAAGCTAAATATGCTTAATCATATATTATAATGATCAAAATTAGGAAAGCAATTGAAAACGCAAAAAAAAGTTCTGTAAAGAAATAAAAAGTGTTACAGTCAGAGCATTTTATATTTAGATTACTTTTTTAAAAAAATATTACCTTCAAATATAAAATAACAATACAAATTTAACGTAATATATGGCAACTAAACATTTAATGATTAAAGGTTTATGTCACTTAAGATTATCGAAGCTAAATGTGCTTAATCATATATTATAATGATCAAAACTAGGAAAGCAATTAAAGACGCAAAAAAAAAAATCTGTAAAAAATAAAAAATGCACCAGCCTGGAATCGAACCCGGGTCTGTACCGTGGCAGGGTACTATTCTACCACTAGACCACTGGTGCTTGGTGTTAAATATTAACGTCAACTTTTATATATCCTTATTTTATAGAATTTTAGGTGGTAATTCATTTGACAGATTCTAATTTCTTTCATTTTCATTTCGTATGTTTTTTTTTTCCGTCCCATATAAGTTGCTAAAACTAACGAGGACATATGTTTAAAAGTTGCTCAAACTAATGAGGACGTATGTTTAAAAGTTGCTCAAACAAATGAGGATATATTTTCACTTCTGAAAGTAAAAACTATTTTTTTCAAATTTCACAATAAAACATAGTCAAACGCCACATAACTTACTTGTAATGCTTGTTTTTGGTTTTGCTTAGCTGTGGTGTATGTGTTCACTTATCTTATTGTCGTGTTGGTGGAAACAAATGCTGGCTTTATCATTTCAAGATATATATTATGTAAGAATTTTGCTGTGTATAATTTGCTACTTGTAATTATTATTTCTCTTCCATGAGCTAGTGTCCCAAGTCCCAACTGAAAATAATAATGTAGATTATTTGAAGAAAAAAAAAGATCGTTGTGTTAATCTGTAGCTAAATTAGGAGAAATCATCATGGTGATGGAAGTTTCTCTTTCACTAATCATATGCCAAAGTAATTACTAATTAACTTTACAACGTTTGATGGAGGTGCAAAAATTAGTACCCAAGGAGCACGTAGTAAGAACGAAAAGTCTTATCTGAGTAGTTGATAGCAAGGGCGTGACTTTATTTCTTAACTAAGTTCACTAAACAAGCGTCATGTTCGATCATAACTCTGACTCAGGCTACTCGTGAGCTTGGTCATAGGCTCAACAATTACCATTGAATGGAACTGCCAACTGATTTGGACTCAACTAATTTGCAAGTAAGATATGGTGATGTTATCTCTTGTAGAGTTGGATTGTAACCAACTAACATGTTTGAAAAATCATTCACTATGTTCTATTTAAAGATGAAAACACATTTTCTATAAAATCCAAGTTAACAAACATTCAATTGGATAAAATTGTTAGTTGATCTGTATAAACTCAAATTTGTGGTCCTATTCTACTTCCAAGAATGTGATAAGTAGGGCAGGTGATAGCTCTAGCTAATTGCCATGATGGGATTAGCATTGGCTGCAAATGGGACATGAGATATTAACAAATAGAAATATCAAATATCAAAAGAAAGTAGAAATTTAGCAATTAAAAGTCATGAAAGCTAAAGTAAGAAATGGTTAAAAAGGAAAGGTATCATTTTCTTCACATGGAAGCCAATACACAATAAAAGCATTAAGATACATTCAATACATCTTCTTTCTTTTTTCCATTCAGTGTCCAGAGACGCATTAGACATCCAACAAAATTTGAATCGCGCACTGCATGGTCTATATTTGGATATGATGCTCCCAAATGGATTTGTTCCATTGTCAAGACTCAAACCCGAGATCTTTAATTATGAATGGATTGGTATCACCCTTCATCCCAACTAATGTTTGATATCTTTACTCCATTAAATAGAGTCCATTCCTTTTACTACATATCCTTTCTTTTTGGCCAAACATTGCATTACATAACCACATGCTACATTCCATGCTTTCCTATACAGTGTTCTTACAATAGCCATAAAGCAAAATCCCCCTTTCTCTCCACCCCTATATGTGACATATTGAACATCAAAGCAAAAATCTTAACTTTCTGCTTTATTTGTCACACCTCTGTGAACTCAATACATATTGTCATGATTAGATGCCGATGCCAAAGAATGTTAAGAGAATATCAATTACACATATTATATTAGCTCTTAATAAAGTGCCTCCTTTTCTATAGACATTAAAAGTAACGATATTGTTGAGTCACAATCAATGGTGGGATGAGGGACTTGATGTCGAGTAATTCCTGAACTAGTTTTTGAAATTGAATTAAATTTTAGATTTGTTTGAGACCAAAACCTATCTCAATTTCTTGATTTAGCTAATATTGGGCTTTTATCTTATATGATCTGCAATCTAATTAACATGTTGACAAGCTTGAATGTACGAGCTAACAAAATTTATGTTGCTTTAGCCATTCAAATTTGATCTATTTCAATTAAATGTCAGCTTATGATTCGAATAAGTTATAAATAGTTTTTTTATGAGAAAAAAGTTATCATTGATAATTGTCTCAAATTGCTTCAATAATGTATGTCAATTGCTTCAATGGTGTTGTTGGAGAGGCAGCATGAAAATAATGACGAACAAAGCTTGAAAGAATTTTTAAATTTTTTTTTGGTAATTCAAAGTAAAAATCCTAAACAAACTTGTATAATTAATTTAGAATTCAATTTACCATATAATACTCTTCTTATATTTTTATTTAAATATTAACAACATATGAATATATTAAAAAGTATTTTCCATATATAATTTTCTTGTCCAACATGGGTAGATAGTAATTAATCTCTTACCTAATATAATAAAACACAATATTTATTACTATATATTTAAGTTCTTTAATGACATAATCCAAACATCTAAATAAAGTAATATATACTTTATGACATATGCTCTGTTTTTTAGTAAGTCATTAAGTCATTAACTCATAAAATGAATACTAAATACATATGGTTTGACTTGGCACGAAATTTAAGTAAATAAAGAAGACTTTTGAATCTTGTGGTCCTAAATTAAAGTTATGTCAAATGTACAAAATTGCCCTTAATCTTGTGGTCTTAAACATGCCACGTGGAAAGCAAAAAGTAAAATGTTACCAAAAAAAGAAAAAGGTCATTCTTTTTTAAACTAACTAAAAAGGAAAGGAAATCTTTCTTTGTAAAAGAGAGGGAGAGTATATACTTTATGACATATGCTCTGTTTTTTAGTAAGTCATTAAGTCATTAACTCATAAAATCCTCATACTCTGTTTTTTGGTGTATTTAGACATTGACACCAACACTCTTTCAACTTCAGCTCAACTCAACTCAGTCTAATGACGACTTCGAACTTTCTATTCCTCTTCTTCTTCATCTTCCTTATCCATTTCTTCACCGTTCCCTCACGTGCCGACCTCCCCGGCACGTGGGAACTCCTTGTCCCTGACGCCGGAATTGCTTCCATGCACACCGCCGTCACCCATTACAACACCGTTGTACTCCTCGACCGCACCGACATCGGTCCTTCCCGGAAAAGACTCCCTCCCCACCATTGCCGTAACGATCCCAATGACCCCATTTTGAAAAAAGACTGTTATGCTCACTCTGTTCTTCTTGATTTGGAAACGAATTCAGTTCGACCTCTTATGATCCTCACCGACACTTGGTGTTCTTCTGGTCAATTTCTCCCCGACGGTACGCTTCTTCATACCGGCGGTGATCTTGATGGGTTCCGGAAATTCAGGAAATTCACTCCGTGTGAATCTTCTAGCTCTGTTTGTGATTGGGAAGAACTTCAAAATGTTCAGCTTTCAGAAGGAAGATGGTATTCCACTAATCAGATATTACCCACCGGAGAAATCATAATTGTCGGCGGCCGTGCTGCTAGTAGTGTCGAGTATTTTCCACCGAGAGAAACCGGAGCGGTTGAATTCCCTTTCTTAACTCAAGCTGAAGATAAACAACATGATAATCTTTATCCTTATGTTCATTTGCTACCCAATGGACATCTCTTCATTTTCGCCAACAATAAAGCGGTTATGTATGATTTTACGGCGAATAAAATAGTAAGAGATTACCCAATACTTGACGGTGGTCCAAGAAACTACCCATCAGCAGGATCATCAGCTATGTTGGCGCTAACAGAGGATTATTCTTCTGCCACCATTGTTATTTGTGGTGGAGCTCAATTTGGGGCTTATTTACAGAGGAGCACAGATACCCCTGCACATGGGAGTTGCGGTAGAATTGAAGCGACCGGAGAAAACCCAGTTTGGGAAATGGAAGATATGCCCTTTGCGAGAATCATGGGTGATATGGTGATGTTACCAACCGGAGAAATTCTTATCATTAATGGAGCTCAAGCAGGAACTCAAGGTTTCGAAATGGCTTCAAATCCATGTTTAAACCCAGTTTTATACAGACCAAACGAACCCTTAGGACTCCGATTCATGACTTTGAATCCCGGTACAGTTCCAAGAATGTATCACTCCACAGCCAATTTGCTTCCGGACGGTCGGATCTTACTTGCCGGAAGCAACCCACATTTTTTTTACAAGTTCGCGGTGGAATTTCCGACGGAATTAAGGATCGAAGCGTTTTCTCCGGAGTATTTATCAGCAGACAGAGCAAATCTCCGACCAGTAATAGTGGAATCGCCGGAAAAGCTCAAATACGGTGAGGATTTTGGGGTGGCGGTGACGGTGGAACTGCCGGTGGTTGGGATTATTGAAGTGAATTTAGCGAGTGCTCCATTTTCAACACATTCGTTTTCACAAGGGCAAAGGCTTGTGAAATTGAAAGTAACGAGCGCGATTCCCGATGATGCCGGTAAATATAGGATCGGATGTACAGCACCGCCGGACGGGAAGGTGGCGCCGCCGGGATATTACATGGTATTTGCTGTAAACCAAGGAGTGCCAAGTGTGGCACGATGGGTCCAGCTAGTTGTTTGAAACTTTTTTATATTTATAATTTTTATTTAGTTTTTATATATACAAATATATTTTAGACTCTTTAAAGTCTGAATGAGACTACAAGAGTATTATTTTATTTTATCATTTCAAATAAATTGGAAAGATAATATAAAGCACAAGCACTTTATAGTTTTACGTATATTATTTTTTTCTCTTTTTTTGGGTTTTTTGGTTTTTAATCCGGTGTCTGATTTTCAGAGTCTAATCAAATTCAAATTCGTGTTGAAAATTTTTGTATTAACGGTAATACGTTTTCTAACAAATGCGACTCCCAGAAGCCTCACATTGGGGTAAAACACTTATTAACAAAGATGACTCCGGATTTTAAGGACTCGATCTCGAGACGTTTGATCATAGATGAAAGAATACTTGCCCCTCCATCACAATCCTTGTTGGTGTTATTTCTTCCTTTTATTACTGGAAAAAGCTTGATTGAATTTAAAAGTTCCAATAAAATAAAATGGTTCTATTTTTGTTGTTTTATGAAATAAATGAAAACAACACTGAGAAAAGTGACAATAATATTAAGAGATATATTGAAAATCATTTGATATTTTCCTTCAAGCGTATATAGCATGATTTATAATACTTTTATGGGGAACTTTTTTAATATGTATAGATTAGCTAACACAGATATCATAGAGAAATTATAAGTATTTTTTTTTTAATTTTTAATTAGAAAGTTTGAGTATGAGTCTTAAAAGTAGAGTCAATTTTGATCTAATCTTAAAGTGGATTTTTTTCTATGCAAATTTAAATTAATCGTAATTCAAAATGAATACTAAATACATATGAATTTTTTTTTAATGAAAATTGAAAACATGCACCTTTAGAAACATTATGGAGAAGGTTAGTGGAAGACCGGAAATTATTTAGAAAAAAGTAGGTGGAGTTATGATTATTATAATAAAGAAATGAAAGGAATGTAATTGACACCCTGTTTGGATTGGTTTTCTAATTTATGGATTTTAACTTATATTTTATTATTTTAGCTTATAATTAAGTGTTTATAAATAGTTTTTTAAAATTATTTAACACTATAGAATTGTTTCAAAGTTATTTTAGCTTAAAAACATTTAAAATAAGCCAATCCAATCAGAAGATTATATTTTTGAATTGTAATCCATTTGCTACAACGGCTAGTTGAATTTTCAATGATTGTGTATAGAAAAGGCCAAATATATATTTAATCTCTTGTCTTTAAATTTTATTTTGGCATTTTAACTCTATTTTATTTTATTTTAATTCTCCAAGTCCATTTCATATATCTATTTGTATTTAAATGCTATATTGAAAAAATTGGAATTTATGTGTTAAAATGAAACAAGATTGAGCTAGAGTGCCAAAATAAAATTCAAAAACAAATTAAAGGAGTGGTATATGTGTTTGGCCTATAGAAAATTAGCCTAAATCTTTATAATGAATAGTCTTAAATGTTTGATTCCTACTTATTTTATGGACAAATCTTTAAAATCAAAAATATTAGTCATTAAACAAACATGTTCAAAAGTTTAAATTCATTCATTTTTAAGACCATTCTTATGAATCACATGATTATTTCCATTCTATTTCATTAGTGTACTTGAATAATTAAATACTCTTCTTAAAAGCTATGAATATTTCCTATTATTGTTTTTGGCTTTTACTCTGATTTTAGAGTTCGTAGTGAAGCCCTAATTAAATTCGGATTGTGTACTACATGATACATACTCAGGCTCCAATCCGAAACATTTGATTAAGGGTAAAACAGTCTGACCACTTAATATTTCCTATTACTTGTCTAACGCTTGAGGATCTTAAAATTTATAGCAAGTCGGTTAAGAAAATTTCACTCGCTTGGAATGATAGTGGTATAATTGTCAATTCTTTGTTTACTCAATATATAACTAGTGTATAATGTATATATACATGGATGATCATACATTGATTACACATTATATAATGGCTTTATTAAATAAATAAAATAGGTCATTTAAAAAAAAAAAAGTAACCTAAATAAACGTCCACTCAACTGTTGAAACTAAAATAATTAGCATGTATATGATATATGTATAGTATGTATATAATTATTGTATAATTTATGTATATCTACTAGAAAAGGTAAAATTACACGAGCAAAATTGTGTGTAAAATTGTTAAATTCTATGTGTAAAATTCCAATAGATATATCTACATACAAACTAGCAGTATTTGTTTATCGTAAAGCATAGTAAATTAGGGCGAGTTTATTTTTGTCTTTTTTCTAAAAACTAGGAGTATTTGATTTACACGGACACGACAATATAGAGTTTGAGGTCTTATTAATATGTAACAACAATAACAACATATTCAATGAAATTTCATAAGTAGGATCTGAAAAATATGTGATGTACGCGAACTTTACTACTACCTCGTGAGATAGAGTGTTTGTTTCCGATGATAGACCCTCGACTCAAGTGCAACAATTTCAGATATAAAGAATGAAAAACAGTGGTAAATTATAACAACTAACAAGAGAAACAATGCAAAGCCTAAAAAAATATGAAAAGAGAATTCTTTTCATTCTTCTCTCACGGTATTATTTTGCTATTTATAAATATTTAAATCTCTTAAGATGGTCCCTATTGAAGTGATATGAATTATATTTTAATTGCTTATTAATTTTAAAATTAAATTATTCTATCTCTAATGTAAATACATGAATAAATATTTCATTTGGAGGTCATATGGTCAAACTCACTATTTTTGGTGTGGTAATGTGGATGTAATGGAACTTTGAACTATCAAACTTACTTAAACTCCGTATTTCTAATATGAAGCATAAAATTTTGCATATACAATTTTATTATAATTATAATATAGAATAGATATGAATTTGTTAAATATCTAATGAATTCAAAATTTAAAAAAATTCAACTTATGAGGCAAAGATTTTTAATCCACCCCAGATAATAAGAGCCTAACACATGCATTTAGTTGGATAAAATAAACCAACGAATGAGATGTCTTGTTATTAGTAAAACTATACAGTGTACATCCAAGATATTTCCATTTCTTCCCCGAATAAAATTTTGCACAGCTCAAATTCAAAATAAATAAATTTTAGGCCTAAATTTTAATGTGAGTATCGGACATAATGTGAAAAAGAAAAGAGAAGATACTTCCATTTGCTAAGGGCCAAAAACCAAATAATATACACGCATATTATAAACATTGATTAGACAAAATAATATGTTGGTTAGGATGGAATAGATAATCAATGAAACCCCTTTTGGCCTTTTTACATTATTGTCATGCTCATCATGTCCCAGCAGGAAATTGATAGGTGGCTTTAGACTTTAGTGTTTTCTGTTTAGGCACATGAGAGTGCCCATTATCAGTAACCTTTGCATATATTGATGTCTTATCTAGCATCTTTTGATACCTACTTTTTTTAAAATTAAAAAAAAAATCAATTGGAAAGTATCTTTTTCATGCCCTTTATATAAACCAATCTTCCCTTTTTACTTATCCAATAAAAAAATTAGGAATATTAAATTGAAATATTTTGACCTCTCGTATATTTGATTTTGTAAATGTGACCAATTGCAAACATGTGTAACATAGGATTAAATTAGTCGATTCAAACATGTCCGAAGAAGTAGTGATAGATTCAGGATTTTCATTAAAAGATATGAAAAAACAAAAATCTAGTGCCTAGGATTTAACTTTAATTTGAAACCTCAAGATGAATATTGGATCTTTTAATCACTGAGGCAATCCCTGGTGTTATGTTCAAGTGATTCAAAATCTCTATATATACTTTAAAAAAATACATTATATATACAATGTAATTTATTGTGATAAGGTTCGGATATATGAATACACTCGCTCCTTCTTAGATTTGTCCCTGCACAGAAGAAGGATTAATATTTAAAAGCAATAGTTGAAGAGGCGATGTACGGATGTCCTAGTGAAGAGGAGTGAGAGGCTGTATATAGAGGGATTGAGGAGAGGTAGAGGTAAGCCGAAGAAGTATTGGAGAGAGGTGATCGATTAGACATAATATGAGACCTCTTCAACTTATGAAAGACATGACCTTAGATATGGAGATCGGGGATAATGGTCGACAGTTAGTAGGTAGTTAGGGGTTATCAAAATACTAGACTTTTCATATAATATTTGCCTTTTTGTTCCTGTTATACCTGGTATTATTGTAGTTTTTACTTTTGATATCTCGCATCGTCAATTGTTTACGATGTTTCAATTATTCTACTATTATTGGTTCACCATGTTAGTTGCTATGTTTTCTATATTGTTTTCTTCTGCTTTCTACTTGGATTTACTGCACTCAAGCCGAGGGTCTTTCACAAATAACCTCTATGAGATAGTGGTAAAGTTTGTGTACACTCTTACCCTCGATAGACCACATTTATGGAATTCTAGTGGTATGTTGTTATAGTAGTTTCAATCTTTATTTTCCATCAATCAATATATTTCACTTTTAAAATTAAGTGTTTAGTATGTAAGTATTAGTTAACCTTTTTTTTAAAAAAAAAACGGATATCGAATCGAAACCCTTCCCCCCTCCCCCAAAGGATAATATCGATCTCTATAGACTATAGGTAACCTTAAAAAGAGTAGATTCAATTAGATCAATTGCACTCGAATTGCAGTTTACTTTGAGTCAAAATGAATTTTTGTCATGAATATTTTATGATATCTAATATTTTTTTGTAATTTCAATAATGTATAATGTTTCTCTCCTATATGATTAATAATGAGTATCAATTTCCAAAAATGAAAACTTTATTAGGAATTAGGAAGATGTAATAATGGAAAGTTCCCCCTTACATCAAACAAAGGCAAAAATAATCTCAATTTCGTTTGGTTAAAAGGGATGAACATTATTTAGAGTGGATTGAAAGTGAAAAATAGTTGGGAATTATTTAATAAAAAGAAAGCGATGCAAAGATCACTTTGTGATCACTTAAGAAAATATATGTGATGATGCGATCACTTGAGAAAATATATGTGATGATGCCTTTTGTTGGAATATAGAATCTCAATTAAATAACTAATTAAGCACAAGTTGGTACATTCACAAGAAAAGATACT